ACTCTTTGATTCTGTTTTTTAATGTTAATGAGCTCACAGTTACAGTAGGATAACATTATCCTTAGTTAGCTTGCCTCTTAAAACAAATTAAAACACCAAGTTCCCAAATGGACAGTCCCAGTGGGGGAAATCTTTAGGCCTGGAGTTCCACAAAAACTGCAGTAATGATGGCAGATCGTTCACAACACACTCAGTCCTGCTTTGGATTTCAGGCAGTAGAAGGCAGAGCTGCAAAACTGTCATTTTGCTGACTGAGTGATGAATACAGTTACTGATAAGATCTCTATGCACATTAGGTCAGAATCAGAATCCTCATTGTAGCAGTAAAACAGCTAAGACGATACAGACACTCAATAAAATTAAAATTAAGTAAAAAATATATAAATTATATACACAGTATATATTCAAATGCATCTATAAACAAAACCAGTGCTGTTGTCTGTTATTTCCTTTCTTGATGAGGGAGTGGTGACTGTTATTCTGTGCCACGGCGAATATCAGATATATTTATTATAACTTAATTATTTTACTTTTTGTCTGTTTTGTAAATTTCACAGCAGTAATACAGAAAGGTGTGTGTTATTTAGCAATTTAGGCTTCACTCCTTGTTGTATGAAACACTTCGAAAGTCTTCGTATTGTTACTTAGAAGGTTTAAGTATGTGACACGAGTAACAAGGTGATTCTTGTCTGTGTTTGCAGGCACAAGAGAACGACAACCTGAAAGCGCTCCTCAAGAAGCACGGCATAGACGTCTAACTCGACAAGCTCGCTGCTGCAGAGCTACGTGTACCCACATGCTACAGAACATTTAATGGTTTATTACTAACTGCACTGAGATTTAATGTCATCATTCCTGTCCTTGTGGTGATGGAGACAAAGTAAGGGACTGCACTTGCATCATGAATTTCCAGTATATACATGTTAGTGATTTTCATGCCATAAAGCCTAAAGCACCTGTAAATAAGTGAAACGCAGAATAACTTGTACATAAAACTACATCTTAATGTGATTTTGGAGTTCTGTTTGATCTGTTAGAACAAATTTAAACCATTGATTTCAAGGACTGAGAAATGAATGTGAAACCATGTATTAAATTTTATTATAAAAAAGGGAAAACTCAGATGTACATTATTCACACAATACACAGTTGCAGACTGATGGTCCAATAACAGTACTAGTGATGACCACACACTGTACCAGTGTTTATGGGGAAGCTTAAATAAGTGAAAGCTGCAGTTGGATCAAACAAAAGGGAAGAAGAAGTCAAAGGGCAGTTTGGCATTGATGGTAGGTGTGGCCCTGTAACCAGGAAGAGCAGCAGCAGATACTGGGATGAAGGCCACTGAGCTTCTGATTGGAAGGACACTGCTGCCTCTGGACAACAGGGTCTGTGTGAGACACAGTACAAATGATTCTGTCTGCTTGCAGTTTTTATTCTGCTATAAATGCTCCGACAGAAACGATGTCTTACCAAACTGCTGGTGTTGCTCTGAATTACTTCTTTGATGCTCACAATCTGTGCTTGAGGATTCACGAAGGATCCGTAATTGGTCCATTTAATTTCTAAGTGCAGTGACAATGGGATGCTGCAACTTGGAGCTTCCTACAAGTCAAAAACATGATGCTTGACAGTGAATTCACTTCTGTTTAAAACCTCAGACCTCAATTTAGATTAGGGCTGGGCGATATGGCCTAAAATTCACATCGC